TAATTTCCTCCTGCACAAATCACAGCTACAGAATCATTGTCCTTAATCAGGAAGCAGACTACTTGAGATTTCTGAATTTTAGATACACTGAGCAGTTCACACTGCTTTAGACTGCAGTGATACCACTCTAACGGGGGAACACCTCAATCTAACTCATCGCATCTAGAATCACAAACTCAAAGACGAGGCTGTTCAGGAACCCTCCCAATGTCCAGTTACTAAACTGATATAAGGGCATAAGAAGAGACTTAATTGCCCAGGACAAAGTGTGACATATTCCAAATGATTGCCTTGATTATTGTTTAGGGTACAGCAAACTACTTAGCCATAGCACTCATCTATTAGATATTCAATACATACATGTATCTTCCAACTAGTTAAAATACTGTTGACCATATGTATTCATAAATTATAAAATGGAATTTGCTGAAAATAATAGCTGGCCTAAGACTTTCTGAAAGTTAAAAACATCTTTTTCTCCTTGGATATCCCTATAATTTCAAATAGCTATTCTTTGGTGTCTGTAATAGAAGAAACATACCGCCAGAAACATAATCAGAAAGTCTTTCCAAACTGGAGAATAAATATGAGATATGGCTTGATGCTACTAAATAAAAAACTAAAACTGACACTTTCTAAATCTCTTTTACCAAAGTTAACTTCTGGTTTTGAAGCCCAAAACACATGACAAAAAAATCCCTTTTGCAATTGGCTGGGTCATTACTCATTTTGATTATGTACTCTCTACCAGGACAGAAGCACCTTCCTTTGACCAGCTGGCAATGCTCTAAAATTTACATTTTAAGACCCATGGGTATATTTAGTTCCTGCACGAAATTCTTTCTGTTCATCCTGCCATTGCTGGCTTTGCAATTGATTGGTACCGATTTCGACGTTCTGCCTTTTTGATACAATTGCTAATCATACTCCTCACTATCTTCTTACTTGATGCAAATCTGGCAAGGATCCCAGCATCCAGTTGACTGCAATCTCAGAAAGTGGGAGGGGGGAGCAAGGCGGTTGAGGACTTTTCAGTTTCTTCGAGTTTAGAAAATGAGAACTGTAAGGTGTGCTGGCTCACACACATAGGTTAATAGTCTGACCACCAAATACCTGAGAGTATTCTCAGTATGTCAGCTTTGGGAACTGAAAATTTAATAAGCAGCAATAATGAAGTTCCTTTTCACTCCCCTGCTATCTCTTCTTGTATTGCATATGATGACTTTCAAAAGTCAGTAGCTTTCTACTACTGCTCAAAATGCAAAATGAGGTGTTTATCCTCTGTCTATGACACTCCAAAGGGTGGGAGTGGACCAAATCCCCAAAATAACCTGACAAACTATCACAGAAAACCAGCATTTCCATGGTACAAAACCCATCAGAAATGAACCCATGGAACTATTTTACATTAAAAAAAGCTCAATTTCCTTCATTTTAGCAGTAAGATTAAAGGTCTTCCATGAAGGGAAATCCAAGATTCAGAATACATACAGTGTTTTATAACTTGATTTTTTTTTTATGGACTCCACTATACACGAGTTTTTCATTGACACGTTTGCATCCTTTATATTCCTTATTCTATTTGATATATCTGTTGACTGAAATGTCCTTAATTAAGTGCTTTACCTATGTTCTCTCCCTTGCAACACACATTCCAGTTATTTATTTATTGTCAATCACAATAAATGGGTTGAAAACTGCGTAGGCAGAAAAATGAGAACAGGGAATGCTCATTCTAATTTTAGATTGAAGAATTTATCAACTTAGGAGTAAAATTATCAGAAATAAAGATTCTACTTTGGTTTAAAATATGTACATATACAGCTATTAGCTATCTTTTCCATTATATATAAAAAAATGAAATCAAACATTCAAAATTCTGAGGGGAAAAATGAAATTCAAAAGAGCAATATTTAGGGAGTGTACAGAAAGGTGAAATCTGAAGTCTCTTCAAAAGCTTACTTGGTAGCACTGAAATCTATTTTCATTGGACTTCTCAGAGAAAACAGTAAGCAACATTTTGTTCATCTTCATGCCTGAGAAAGAGTCTTCTTGCAACATGAGACAATACAGCTGCCACATTAACAGAAGGTAATTAAGCCTTTGCAACTCTGAACAATATCCTCTGCAGTAAAATATAGCTTCTTTGCACCAATAAGTATATGATACATATTTATTTGCATGTTAAGAGTAAATTTTTAGAAATCAGCAAAAGTTGAGTAAAGAAAGATGCTTAAATTCACCGAGACCAGAATGGTACTTCCAAAAACTAGGTAAAAGCAGTAGCAGCACTTTCAGCTTTTCCGAGAAACAAATGCTCTGGAAAAGAGTGCTTTTTTTCACACCATTATATATGGCATAGTATAATAGAATCATGAAAGGACTACAAACAGCTGTGCCCGATGGAATATATAAGCATTTGTAGAGCAGTCTGGGTAAAAAGCTGTACAAGAAAATGAGTCAAGGATTGTGGTATAAAGGCCAGAAGAAATTCATCTCCAGCTCTCCACACAGAGCGAGAATGATCACATCAGCAGTATTCTGTCAGAATTTTCTCATGTGTGAATGGTTAGAGAGAAAGGAAGGCGGCAGACAGTTCTTCTTTTACTCTCAAAAAACTCGGGCACCTCAAACAATTCACCTGGACTTTCTACTGCTTGAAATATTTTGTGACAAATGTTCACAAAGAGGATGCGACCAACGTGTATCTTTTCTACACTGACTGGATGTCAATAACCAGCACAGAAGTGGACAAATTTTATCATGCTGTAGCAATTCTCTCTTGCACTCAAAGTCTCAAGGGGAGACATCTCTCCGCAATAAAGCTCTCATGAACTGCTCATGGATGCACTGCTACAGCACTCTTCTAAAATCCCACTCATTATTGTAAGCCATAAAGTTACAATTTTGAAGTTTTTAATGTTAGTTTGTACTTTAAAATACAAATGAAGTTACACACTGATCTGTAAGTGGGCACGATCTACAGATGCAGGAGTACTGAGAGAGATGCAAGGGAGACACGACACACCGACATGCATTTCTCACCAAGGGCAGAATGAAATTGGTGAACAGAACAGAACTATTTCACAAATAGTCCAAAGAACTGAGATGGGAGTAATCATGTTACAGTAAGCTCTTCTACCCATCTGGTAAACTACCCACATTAATAATACTTCATTTGATGAGTAAATATTCTTTCTGTGTAATTTAATAGATTAATTTTGGAACTCTGTACCTCTTGGAACTTTGTGACACAAGGGGCACTTTGCAAAAAGAAAAAATGTTGATGAACTGCAGAAAATGGTAAGTTATGCAGTAAAAGTGTATTCTGCCCCACTTTTGGCATATTTCCTTGAAAATTATCATTGTGAGGTGACAATTAATTTTCATGAGTAGGGTCCTTATTCCTTACGATTCCATCTTCCACAGGTCAAATTTGGAAACACTTCCTTCAATGATGCCTTCCTATTTCACGTAATTCATTTCAGCCTTTAGTCCCCAGCCTTATTAATCTATTCTTTAATGCCTCTTAATCATTTCTCCCTGTTCTGCCTCTGCTGCAGCAGTTGATTGATGCTTTATTGAGAAATACAGTCTCCCCCATTTTTCCCATTTTATCTCCCCATTCATACTTGCATAGTCAAGGTTCATCAACATTCCTGTATACTTATACTATAAAGCAGCTATTTCTGTAAACTACTCTTCCTCTGATTATTAATCACAGCTAGGGTGGTTTTAGGTTAACTGTTCACCACACAAATGGACACACAAATCAGCATTTGCTTTCATTTTTCCTATACCTTAAAAAATAGTCCTAACACAATACCTGTGTTTTTCAAGTTTGGTTTTGGTTTGTTTTTTTTTTTTAATTTCTGTGATCCTGGCAAAAAGTACCATCTTCAGAAGACAGAAAATTATAAATTCATTTTTATTTGTACTACAGGGGATTATTTTAAAAAACACACTGTGCTAAATTTGCATATCACTCAGCATATGCACCGATGCACAAGTCCTGTGAAGGCACACTGAGTCAAACGGGGAATGTATTTGTATCACTATAGAACCAAGGATGAAAACACAACAGGATCCACAAGAGTTTACTGTTAAATAAAATGCAACAACAAGAGAAATGTCAGAGAATGTTTTATGAAAAAAGTTTGAAAAAAAGAAGAGACAGGAAATGTGGTAACAGGCTGAAGTTCTCTCTCAATTCCCTGTAGAACAAATTCTACCTTTTAAAATATTTTTAAAATACATTTCAGACAAAGAAGTTATTTCTTCCCTATTCCTAACAATGCTTGGATTTTGGCAATGGACAGGACATATGGGCACAGAACATGAACCACAATATATCTTTAATATATGTTGAAGACTCCAGTTACTTTTCCTGCCTTTTTTTTTTTTGACATGCATGTTTTGAAAGTTACAGATAGATTTATTATCGGACTATACATCTTGCACGTCAATGAGGCCCACAGGCTTAAAAAGCATAGCTGATGGTGGGTTTCTTCAGCATCACTTTGTGGGCTGCTTTGTTTTGTTAAAATCAGCTGTATGAACTAAAAGGGAGATCAATCCTTATTACAGAGAAAACTAGCTTAATTTTAGTTCAATTTCAGTCTCAGCTTATTAAATCTATTTGTAATTTTAAGGCAGTATCAACACCTTCAGTGACACTCAAAATCTGAATGTTTTAACATTACTGAGTGCACAGATATCTCTTAGTATCCCAGAACTACTATTCACTTCTGGAAATTCATTCAGCATCTTTTATGTCTGTTACTGATCCAGATGAAGAACTCTTCAACAGTACATCTCAAATTGCTTTCTGTGTTTTCTCGGCTTTCAGTCTCTAATGTAAGTCAATTATCATTTTGAAAAGGGTGAACTTGGGCACTTTTAAAAATTAGTTATCATCTAAATACACTTTGTAAAATCTTACTGCTGCCTACCCAGATGATTAAAATGTTTTGTCATTTTTCTGTATTGAGGCTACTTACACTGTCACAGAGGAGGCTCTTATTTTTGGTGCCTGTTGCGTAACAGTCACAGGGTTTGCAAACATCAATGGCTGAAAGATCTGCACCTGTTTGTCTGTAATGGAAATCCTTACACAGCTCACAGTTCCTTCCTGCATGAAAGAAAGGTTATGCATTATGCCTTCCAATTCATTAAAATTAGCTGTATAATTCAAAATTAAAGACTCTATTCCTTTGAGAGAATTCTATAATTTTCAGGACGTCCATTTTAATGCACCTTTCATCTCTACCTGCCAATTTAGTGATCCAGAGCATATGAAACAATGAACCTGTTACAAACTATGTTTTACTCCATTAAACTTCCATCTGTTATGTAATACCACACTTATATAAAAGCTGTGCCATGCAAATGCCTATACATTTTTTGGAAAAATTATCGTTGAACCTGAAATTTTTCTTTTTTCCCCTTTACTAGAAAAAGTCAAAAAAACTGAAATAGAACTGTTAAAAAATAAGTATTCAAATAAAATTGCTTACACAGAATAGAAACCTTTCATCAATAAACAAGAAACTGACATTAGAGCTAAATCTGACAACATTTTTAATATGCTATCTGTTAAAGTGGTTCAATTAGAAAGATTATATTCTGTATTTACATGCTCTAGCACATGTAATGGAAACAGCTTTGAAACAATACATTCTAATTATTTATTAGAATGTCTTTTGCATGGAAGATTTTTTACAAGATTAGATCAAATTTTAGCAGTATTTTCCTGTGGCTTAAGTATTGACACAATTGTAATTACTGCACTGTCTGGAGACTTTAAAAATACATATACATGACAACTTATTGGAATGTCAGCCATTGAGCCTAACTAATTTCAGCTGACAGAAGACTTGGCCAAAAAGTAACTGTAAAACAAACAGTCCATCCTCTTCTGTGAGACTTACCAGCTGTGTTGTGTTGACAGTTCTCACACACTCCACCACTGCCCCTGTAGTGCTCCTGGGGAAAAGGGTCCATTGCTAAGTCATAGTGGCAGCTTACTGCATGGCTGTAACACTGACAAGGTTTGCAATTATAGGCATGAACTTGATCACCTGGACGAAAAGGCTTGTCATTGTACAATGGTAAACAGCGATCACACTGAAATTAAAAAAAAAAGAAAATACTATTTCTTTACCTTATAAGAATACTATTATACTCTCTAAATTCATGTTTCATTCCATGTGTTTTCTCCTATTTAAATATTAAAAATATTGGGTTTAGACATGAAGTGAGAAAGCATATAGGGAAATAACAAAACCAACTCTTTTTTTAAAAAAAATCTTAAGTTACTTAACAACAGAATAAAATCAAGGAAGGTGGGCAGAAGAATAAAATTTTAAGTAGTTTGATATTCAACGTAGGCCAACGTCCTGAAATTCGGATTTAGTTAAACCTCTAAAGATGCAAAATGGTGCCTACCGTGTTTGAGGCACAGAAGAAATATTCACCTAATGCATCCATCTACATGCATTTTAAACAATGTCTGTTATTGTAGTTTGTAGTATTGTAGTAACTGCAATTTGTACAGTTACCATTTGACCTGCTGAGTGAAACAAAAGGACTCTTGTGGCCAAATATGATTTTATACAGAGTTATCTGAAATATCAGAACATCTAAATGTGCATTTATCTCATTAACTTTTTAAGAAAGAAATTTTAAACAAAAAGGTAAATCCATGCACATATTCAACATTGTCAAGTTATATTTTAAATGACACCAATAGAATACTAGGATACCAAGTACATTGTTTAAATAAACACCTAAACAATCTTGTTTTCTTCAATTCTTTTCAAATTTATCAAATACAAAGACTAATGATATTCAAATACTTAATTAGCTTAAATCCAAACCAGTAAAAATATTTTTAAGTACTTCAGGAGCACCTCAGAGGCTCATTTTTTATTTGGATGAACTCACAATATTACTTTCTAAGTAGAGCTTTATGAAGAATGTGAAGTTGAAATAATCTTCAGTTCATAATAGACTATACAAAAATTCAAGGAGAATACACAGTGTGCCTACTGGGCCATCAAGAACTAAAACCAAATTGGATTTCTTAGAAGTTAATGAATAGCTAGCATTTTGGACAACTGCATTCTCTTTATGGTGAACAATGCAACCAGTTTTTATGAAATTGTCTCCAAAACTAGTACATGCCGGCACTGGAGAATTTTTTTTAATTTAACTGGCATTACTGGAAGTCCATTCTCAAAATACTGTTGCCTTGCTGGATCTAAGAAACAAAATCTATGGCAATTATAATTTCCATCTTTCAGAAGGAATTTAAATCCTTCAACATAAGCTGCACGTTATAAAATAAGGGCACCTTCTTTCTTCCTAAGTTCCGTAAGTGTGCTCATCTTTCTTCACGGCTACTATTCAAAGCACTGTTGCAATTATTTCAGCCCAGCGTGCCTGCATCATCTACATGCCGACAATTAAGAAACTATACTGGTTTCTAAACTGTTTCGCTCACAGCTGATGCTGGGAAAGCATCAACTGGGGGTAAAATGAGAAACTGAATTAGAAAACATAAGCTTAAGATAGTCCAAAAACTAACAAAACTGACTTGAGAGAGAAAATGAAAGCATAAGAATTTAACTGCTGAAATTTAGTTTTAATACATGAAATTAACAGTAAGAGGTAAGATAACAATAGCCACTGTACTTTTCTTCAATCTGTTAAAAACAAAACAAAACAACAAAACCCCACAACATCACCACAGTGAGAGAAAAAGGAGGTTTCAGGATGAAAACCAGGGCTTCACTTGAGACCTTGAACTTTGACCTTTGTTTAGCAGAAGAATTGCTGCCTAATCCTGATTAGCCCAGTACACCGAGGTGAACACCCTGAACATAACTATCACACAAGTTACACAGCTTATTCAAGTCCTTCCCTCATTCACATCCATCTTCCTTCTCTCTAGTCACTCCCTTTGTCTCTTCCTTGAGGAAAATCAGCATTACACAGCACCAGCAACATGAGACAAGAAGGTTCATTCAGGCACTGCATGACTTGGGAAGAGCAAGAAACAAACCCGAGCTCCCAGCCAAAGCATCCCACTCGTGCAGTTCCCTCCTCGCAGCACATCTACAGAAATATGTGCTGCTTGAAAGGAAAACAGTACAGGAATAGCTACCAGCCTGCCAGCCCTGAGTTTCCAACCACATAGAGGCTGAGAGGGTCCGATATTTCATTTCAGATTTAATCTTATGCACACCTGTGCTTGCGCCTATTGTTAAATGACACACAAGCACTACGGAGTAAGAGAGAAGATGGCCCTTGATTACACAGCACGGAGCCTCTTTGAACTACCATGTCTCTTGTTCTGGGACTTTTAAAACTTTTACAAAACTTTTTAAAAGCCTTGGTAAAAAAAAGTAGTCATTCAAAAGTTGGCAATGACTGTGAAACAATTGCTGTTCTAGCAGTTGTCATACCTGTATGCACTAAAAAAACAGGCAGTGGACCCCCACCTCATCCTGCTGAGTTTGTCACACCTTTATTAGGTTAGGAATTGCATTTAACTTCCAGACCTGCTGCGTTTAACTCTCAGTTTTGGTAGCATGATGATGTACATACAGCAATCTTCAGGTCTTCATTCACCAAAAGTAAACTCTGCATTTGTCCAAAGCACAGTGTTGAGATTTTCAAAGGTATTGAGAGATTCAGGTTTCGATTCTTGGCTACTACATGTAAAGTGGATAGGTAAATTCCCAAAAAAGCCTTTGACAAATCTGAACAAGGTCTAGCAGTAGATTTACAAAGAATGTTAATTCTTGACAAAACAAGCCTTTGTCCATAACTGTAAGACCCACAAACATGCAGATGCCCTTAGTTACATCTAGGCCCTTCAGAAAATACGTTAATATATGGCTTTCCCTATGGACAATAACAAACATGTCCTCTTGATATACAGTATCAGAACCGCTCATCTCCTGTGAAAAGAGTTTTCTGAGAAAATGTTACATGGAGCCAGATGGTCAAAATACATAGCTCGTCTTGGCCCAATTCATCAGTCAAAATTCATTATTAAAAATTTATTTCCAATAAGGAATTCAGGATGGTTTTTACTAAAAACATTATCAAAAACTTACCTTCTCAAAATTCCTGAACCCAGCACACCTATGGAAAGATCACCAGTGACTTCAGCCTAAGCCTTTATGGGCCAAGTTCCTTAGTCGTCACTAAGGATGCTGAGGACAGTGCCTCTGAAGAAACAGTCGACAGATATTCAAAGAAATACTTCAGAAGGCAGTAGTAATGCTATTTTAAGACTTGCAGTAAGTCATTATCAACTAGAACTTTCTACTCCAACAATTTTAAAATATCCCACTGCTTGCCTCTGGGTGGCATCCTTTTTTTTATTTTAATGTTATGTCATGTAGCATTTATTCCTTTTTTTATTTTCCTAACCTGTGTAGGAGTTCCCATCTCACACTCATCAAAGTTCAGTTGTAATAACCAGTGTACATACACATCTGTAGTACTTACATTATACGTGCTTCTATAATATACATATGTTATTAACAGTACACAGATCTAAAAATCAGCTGAAGTGATATGAAGATTCAAATGCCACTTTCTCAGGCATTTTGAAAAGCTGTCTTGTCTTTGAAAAACTCCGTTATGTGTTTGACCCAACCATGATTATTTATGCTGCCTTGTAAATGTTGACTATAATAGGATAGTTAATCACATACTGTTTTTCCCTTCCCACAAGATCCCAGTCTGTACCCAAATGGACAGTGTGCTTTCACTCCATTCAGCTTCATTAGCCAAATAAATATGGCTTCTAGGCAATATCTATTCCAGTGTAGCTTAGCCCTGCTCTGAAGACAGTCATCTTAATTTCCCCATGGCTTTTCCTCAGCACCCTTACTACAGCATTTGACTATCTATCAAGGCCACATGTTAGCAGAGCTTTGAACCATATCTATCTCTTGTGAACTCCCCAAAGACCTTTTAAACTCAAAAGCTGGGTTTTATTAGGAAAAAAAAAAAAAAGCTGGAACACTGTAAGTGACTCCAAGTGACTAAGACAGAATAGAAATGAAGAGCATCTTATGGGGTTCTGTCCCATTCCTTAAAAGGACGCAAAATAATTTTAGAAACTAAGCACAGACTAACAGATGGTTTACAAATACCGTATGCCAAATAGCATTCTAAGAAAAGATACTACTGTTGCTTTGCAATGGCAAAGTGACTGACAAAGAACCTGACTGGAAAAGAACATAAGATCTACCATTCTGAATGCCAGATTCCAGTAATGGGACACAACTGAGATGTCACCACTGGCACAGATGTTGTCAGGCAGCGTAAGACACATTTCTGTTCAACTCCTCTTTCATTTATACTTTTTTTGGTGAAGTTACTGGAAGCCACACTAAGTCCTACAAAATCAAAGTGTATGTAACCACACTAATTCTGACAATCAGGCGGTAAATTAATTCGAGCTTAAATTCTCCAGAATTAAAATTCAGTTTTCAAATCAGGCATCCACTCCATCTAACTCCCATTTAGACTCCAACCCTGTAGGACTTCTGTAAAATAGAGGGAGAAGGTATGTTTTGCAGCTGATGAGGCCGGCATGTGTTCTGTTTTACCAAATCTCTGACTTGCTCAGGATATTAAATTGTAAGAGACCTTGTGTTTATTTTTCCACTATTTCTACCTTGCTTATTTGGAACAAGCCGTTGAATTTCATTCTCCTGTAACATTAGAGAGTGCTGTAGTCACAATTACCGCGTATTTAAGGGTTAATTTCACTCTTCTGAGGAAGCTACTGCATGGGATTTTTTTTTTTTTTTAATAATAGTTTTAGTGGGGTAAAAGAAGAAAAAAAAAAAACAGATTTGCTAATCACTTGGACACTTTTATGGAAATGTGAAAAAGCATAGAAATTCAATAAATGTATGTGGCACTACAATTTACAACAGCTACTTTCAACAACAGTGAAGCACCAGCCCAGTTGTGTCTGCTTTCTTTCACATTAAATGAAATAAATATCCTGCATAGTGGATAAGCCCCTGAAAATAATTTTCAGACTGGAATAGCCTTCTTAATTTCCAAGAGGTAACAACGACAACCATAATGCCATTGGCTATCTGCCTACCTGTTAAGAAGAACTTAGGAACATCAGATCAAAATGTGTAAGGGATAATGACCACCTCACAATTCCTTTGGCATGTCATCCTCTGCGCAACAAAGCACGAGGCATCTGAGACTGCAACAAGTTCTTTCAGTATTTCAGCTATGCTTGTGCACAAATTGTTTTAGAAGCCTGGATCTTTGAACTGTGAAATTGCACCAGTTTTCCAGGGATGGATTCATGGACAACTCTGTAACTTCCAGACATGTCAGAAGTTATCCAAAATTTTCAGGCAGGCAAAAATACTGGACTAGGTGCCTTTCTCCTTCCTGTTTCCTAAAACTCCAGTCAACCATCTGCTTGCTTGATTTCCTTTCTTTATATTCTGATATTGTCGTCTTCTTCCATGGGCTGTTTCCAGTTTTTCAAATGACACCGTGAAAAGTTTTTGAACATACTACTGCTCATGTCTATAATTTAGTCTTTGCATCTGAATGTTACAAAAATCTGGACTCCACTCCTGGTGCCTTGGTTTCCCTTTGTAAAAGGCAGAGCTATTTCCCAAAGTGGGACACAAGGCATTTACAGAACAATTTGTAAATGAAGAAGCTGAACATTTCCTTTTCCTAAGATTACAGACAAGCTCTGTAAGAATTTATTTCCTCTTCTTTCTTAATCTGGTCCCTCGATAACTGCAAGTCATTCTTAAGCATTCCTTTCTTCCCATCATCTCAAATTTCATAACAACATATTCCTTCATCAAAACAGAACTCAGAAAAAAAGAAGATAGAAATTCCATTTGGTATTTCAAATTTCGTAACATGGTGATGCAAATAACTAAGATTTCTATTTGTAATGAATTATGCAAATATTTAGTTTCTAGTATTGCTTTGCTGCACAACAGCTCTCCAGATGTATATGCCAGATAAATTCAAGATGGTAATTTTAGATTAATTAAGTGTAAATGTGACAAGGACATACTCTGCCATATGTTAAGAGCTTGTCAAGAGATCTCCGATTCTTGTCCAAGGTATTAAAAAAAAAACCAACAACAAAAAACCACCAAACCAAAAACCAAACCCTTCTTATACCCCTCAGTTATGGTGACAACTGTTTGCTTGTTTGCTGACAGTGCAATTTCTTCTCAAAAACATTTGCCTTCTCCCTGCCAAAAGTTTATATTCAGAAACCTCCTTCATCGAATGCTTAATTGAATCTAAATTATTGTTATTATTATTTAATAATAATAATAATAATAATAATAATAGCAGCCTAATTCACTGGGGTAGGAGAGTCTGAGAAACGCAGGTGTAAGTCTATGAGACAGTTTTATCAATGGCAATGACAGTAAAAAATCAGGATGGATTTTGGTTTTGCTTTTAAGTGTGTGCCTTGCAAAAAAAAATCAAAACCTTTAAGCTGTCTGGATTTCATGTAAATCCTTGATAAAATTCAAAGTACTTAGTGATATATTTGCAAATATTAATTCTATTTTATTAATACTTCTATTTTATTTCATATTTAGTAGATACTGACATGGTCATTAAAGAATGAGGAAAATAATTAAACAACATCCTTATTGTACTATGAATGAATGCGGTTAATTCAAGCATTTCAATTATAGTTACAATGCATATATGCCAAATCAAAAATGTGACACGCACTGTAACAATCCATTAACATTGACAGAAAATATCTGATAAGGCAGATACATCATTAAAATGTATTTGGTTTGTTTTCACAAGGTAGCATAAGTCTTGCAAGAGTGCTTGGTGAACTTCCAGATCTTATTAAATATTTATAATTAATCCCTACAAAGTAACATTTCACAATGTGTGTTCTAATTAAAGGGACATTGTCAGTTTGAATTTTTTTTCTAATTTGACTCATCTAAAAACATCAAAATTCTGTTCAAATCCCATTTAGACTGTAGATCCTACACTTCTGCTTAAAAACTAGAAAACTTAGATCCCCATCAAATTTTACAAAGATCTTGCACATTATAGTAAACACAATATCAAATGCTCTCAGATTAACACTTCTTGCTCTGTCCTAGCAAGCACAGACTGCTTGGGGGTTTTCTAATGCGAGATTAGTCTCCTGTTTGCTACTGATGTTGCTATTCCGTAACACCTTCTTAATTTTTAGAAAGCCTGTTTCCAAAAGGCAGAAATGTAGCAAGGAATACAGCATGTACTCACAATGGAAATATAACATGCAGTGGGATTGTGAGATTCATTCCTTTGATGTAGCATTTTCTTTCTTAATCTCAACTTTTTCTTTTTTTTTTTCTTTTTTTTTCTTTTTTTTTTTTTGAGGTAAATAATTAATCTAGGCACAGAATCTTTTCTTTGAGCAAGTTGACTCATACATCATGGTTCTGTTTTTGCCAAGTTGTATGTGAAAAGCTTCCAAGAAAACCAAATGTTGCATAAAATAAGGGCAAACTGGCACCATTATTCTAAGCTCTCTACATATTTCTCTAGAAGACCATGACTTACAGTAAACAACCCCATTTTGGTTCTCCTATGGCCAAGAGTTATAAAACTAGTAGGAAAATTATAATTTTGCAACTTGGTAAGTTTCAACTACACACTACACTTCCCTATTACAAAAATCCCTCTTTATTGAGAAATGTAGTTACTACAGGCAGAGCAAAACAATGATGACAATGTATTTTCTAGACTATATCTAGTTTTTTTTAATATGGCCTTTTAATTAATTCCAATGAATTTAATCTTAATATTGACTATGTGAAAACACAGAGCAGTGAAAAGTAATATTAAGTCTGTTCTTGTACTAGAACAATCATGTTGCTACTACAGATTATTTTAAAGATAAACAAATGTCATATATGACTGTAAAAAGTATGGGAAAATGACATTTACAGGCTGTCCTTAAATAAGTTCAAAGCTCAATTTTCAATGTTTTAAAAAGCCACAACCCAAAGCACAGGGTTAGATCAAAATAATGAATAAGACCTCCAAGAAAATAACTTCCAAATACATATGTATAAGAATGTCTCAGTACTTTCTTAACTGTGCTCAACTATGCAAGAGACATTTAAAATCAAGTCCAAAACATTTTAACTCTTCCTATCTTAGACATATTTGGTAGAACAACTGCATTAAAAGATCTCATTCTTAGCTGAATTTAGAGACTGCAATCTACAGATGTCCCAGGTATCAGAAGGTAAATCTATGTTAGTGTTTTACCTTGGATTAGGCATAGAGTTTTAAAGCAAATCTCCAAATTTTCTGCATTTACTGTGTTTTGGTTTGCATCATGGAGCTGTCTTGGACCCTTTGAACTGCTGCCTTTCAAACAAAACTAAATTGGAAGATGAACTACACGACTGTGCCTACTGCACTCCACCTACTGAATGGGTCTGGAGTACATAAAACCAGACTAAAACTACTGCAGAGTAAAAAATAAAAGCACATCTGCTGAAAAAATTGGGTCTTCCTTTTCACTCTACAGATCATTTGTTAGTTGCTACAGCAGGCAGAGCCATCATTTTTGTTAGATGCTGACAGTCTAAATTCAGGTTTGCATCTAATGTTTGAGAAAGTGGCATAATCCTTTAACAAGAAAACAAATCCCTGAACACAGAACTGCTAATGGCCTGTGGTGGAATGGCTTTTGGCAAGGGGCGGTGGGGGCAGGGGCAGGTTTTTGTTTTCTTATTTAATACAAACGCTGATGTGGACGACACTAACATACATACACACGCTCTTTCCCATGACTAAAATCCCAATTTTGAGGCTGTTCATAGGTGAGGTAGGTAGACAAAGGAGAAACTAACATTATATCCTTCTGTATAGCTTTCCTTGACGCACAGGCACCTATATGGTTCCATAGCTGTGTCGCAATTATCAGCATGGCCATGGCAATTACACCTGAAAGAACAATAGGTAGTGAAAAAAAACCTAAAACATGGAAACACATCTGTCCAACAATATATTACATGGTCACAAAGAGAATTTTGTGTATTACACAGACTGGTTCTTTATTAAGAACAAATAAACACCACCAAAGAGAATGTTCTTGAGTGCAGTAACCTACAGAAGACTAGTTCAATCAACAGATTTTTAAGTATCAACAATTGCTTTCCAAGAAAATAAAAACCAGCATGTAGTAAAGCTACTATTACCTTATATAATATGTAATGAAAACTATATTTCAGTATATAACATTAACATGTAAAATTTTATTAAATAAACAGTAATTATTCATCAATATTAAGCCTTACACTGTGGCTATAGTTTTTCAAGAAATCTTAACCGTATCAAGCATAGTTTTCTAGTTTAAGTCATTTTGATGTCAGTTAAAATGCCCATTTCTTACTAAAACAAATCCTTCATAGAGTATTAGTTAACAGGCAATAACCATCCCACTCAGCCGAAAGGGCTGCTCTTCTGGAGGTATGGCACGGCTTTGCAAACTACAGCTGAAATTATTTTACTCTTACACAGCCACCAAGGTTGTAGCTATTTTAGTAAAAGCATTATCATAACACATCTAAATCAACAATCAAAACATTTTAGTAGTGTAGAAAATTTTAAGGTAAACATGACCTCTAAGGGGGTGCTTTCTCTCAAAATGAGAACTACCAAAATAATTTCAGGAATAATACTTATTAACAAAAATCTGCACCATATGCTTCGTGGAGACTATTTCATTGCCAAATTTGCATATTATTTACAGGGCATAATTAGTCCTTTCACAAGACAGCACACATATACAATAAAGCTGTCAGTCACAGATAACATAACACTTTTACTGACAGCTGCCCATTTTAAAAAGGAAAACTACAGCTAAAACAAAGAATGAGCTCTGCATTAACACCATTAAAATTGCCATGTTTGGGAATCTATAATGAAACTTGGAAGAGCTACTGAAGTAAAGCAAAAGCCATGGTTTCAATCATAAGCCTTTGCTTAGAGGCATTGGTAATTCCAAGGAAAGGACTGCTTTTGACAAACTTGTGTAATAAGTATAATTAATATTAAAATAACATGTAAGCAAGTATTTTAAAAAAACAGTACATGAGGCATTTCCAACTTGATACACTACTTCAGATCAAATTCCCTTCTCATCCATAAATGTAAAAGCAGAACAACCTCATTACATCTTAGGCTGGTCATTATATACTTTGCATAGCTGTAATAGTTGGAGGCAGAGATGGGTGAGGGAAGAGTTCTGTAACACCTACCTTCCACTGACTGTAACTTCATTAACTCCATAATATCTATGCCTAAAATTTACCCAAGACTCATTAGTGTGATACTGGCCATGGAGATGAATCCTCACTTGTGTGGCTTTTACAAATTCTTGGAGAGATGGAGTATTGTAAAAATCATTGTAACCAGGTCGGTGATTTGGTTCCGGGGTAAGAACACTGAAAGTTAGATTACCACGGGAATACGGTGTAAAGCTGTTTAAATAGAGAGGAAGACAAATGAAAATCAAATTATCACGTATTTTACAGATTTTATCTCCTAATATTATTTTTCTCAGAGAGGGTCTCCACTTAACTGTACATAGGGTTCTGTGATTTCTGGGGAAAATTCTTATGTCAGTAGATTCCCAGTCACCAGAATTCAAGCAGGTAAAAAGAAATGTCCTCCGTATGTCTGGCCTTCCCCAAACTGCCATGCTCTTCTCCCGCCCCTAAGTTTCCAATTAAAAGTAAAGCCTCTAAAGGGCAACTTCAGAATATGAATAAAGTGTGACTGATACAGTGCCATCTGCACTAACTTTTCAAAAAGTTTAACGCAATGTCTTTGAGAAACATGAACTATGCTTGAACTACATAAGAAAACCATTCAAATGACTAACATGATAATTTAGATGCCCATATTGTTAATCATATACCTGCTAAACACATATAAAAACCACACAGAAACAATAATATCTTGAATTCCAGAGTCACCTGACTGTATCATCTCATTTGTGAGCGAGCAGAGTTAGAAACACATGCCACCTTCCAGGGACTGAAGTGCAAGAGAATTTAAAGGAATGCAGTAGGACTGAGAGTAAAACTACATTTAAACCTAAAAAGGGGAAGGACAGTACTAAGAATTCAAGCAAAGACTGAGTAAAGAAGTATATATAAACTGCACGTTTGCACATTTGGTATGAATCATATCTCGCACTGGTATATTTTCTAGGCAGAGTTTAGTTATGTGTAGAACTTTGCCTCTGCAAGAGGCAAGAATGTCTGCTTATTTCCACACCTACATGGGCTCATTAAAAATAGGTATTCCATGGTATCATCTGACACCTGACATACAACATTCAAAAAACCATAATTCTCATAATTTCAAAATACATCTGAGCTTTTGAAAGATGAGATTCATAGTTACACTAGGTCTGCTGAGTCATACTCCTCTGTCTTCATGAAGAGTCTTTGAATTTACTGTATCCCTATCCAGGTCAGTGCTCCACAAAAATCTCAGGGGAATATATCTGTGTGTTTCTGAGTGATACTTTCCTCTCCTTCCCCTTCACAGAAAGTTAAATAAAGTATTTTTCTTCCATGATATACAAAGCTGTAATGGAAATGTTAAGATGGGTACAAATGGCAGACAAATGACATCGTCTTTGTATGGAAGCACCAGAAGGAACAGCAGGACTGAAGGCACCTAGACAAGCAGGTCATCAAGATCATAGGGCATCTACACGCAGCTTCTCAGGAAACCAGGAAAACAAAGGAGATCATGAAACAAGGGTCAGACGATATTCAGACTAAGCAAAGATTCAAGCCTCTGATATGGGCATAAAGGACAGTGAGCAACTCCTAACTCTCAGATGTAGTACAGGGTGAAGAAACAAAAACCTTAATCACTTTCATCTCCTAAAGGACACAAAACAGTCCATTCAGTACTAGCATGTGGTCAGCAAACCAAGAACTCTCAAGCCATGGTAAGGATTTCAAAGCTAAGGTCACTCGCCTTCATGTCAACCCAAGGAGTCCTGGCTAGGCCACCAAGAAACAAGCACACTGGTGTCTAAACCCTGGACACACAACTTGGACGTGTCTTGGCACTTAGAAGTATGTGGGTAGGAGAGAGAAAGAGAGAGAAACCAGTTCTGTTTTATAATAAAATCACCTTCCCCTCCTATAACGGTCTCAGCAGGGAGCTCTGCTACACTGCTGACACAAATTTGGAGCATTGTTCCAACAGTTACTTCTCTTTGAGTACACAGAATACTCATCATTACAGGGCATGTTTCTTATCCTTTAAACAAAGCTTTCTGTACATCAACTGTACCCAAAATCATTCATTCATATCACTTCCTATCACCATTTACACCATAATCAAAGAGGAAAACAGTGCTACTTAAAAAACCTTTATGGAAACAGTTCATACTTAACTCCTCAGTTCTTTTTAGAAGATAGATAAATACACATTTCTGGACTGAAAAGGGCATTACACCTCATTTGGGTTATTTATCCAAAAATGTTTGGTTTGCTTAAGTGATTTCCCTTCTCCTCTACCCTCTGCCCTACAGATCAGCAATAAAGCTCAAAGAAGTCCTTTGCTGAAAACTCGTGTAACTCAGATGACCTTATGCTCCTCTCCTCAGAATACTGAACTCCTGGAGAACAGATAAAGATGCTGACACTTGAAAAGTCTTAGGAAGGCAGCAAAAGTGAAACAACAAAAAAGCAAAATGCCTACAGCACCTGGTACTGTATTTTCTCACTGATTTCCAGTCAAGTACTAAACAAGCCTAATACTGACTGGCATCCGAATTCAGGCACGAGATAGGGCATTTGAATCTATGTAGTAGTATAGATTCAAATACATATACATGTACATACGTGCATGTGTGTGGGTAAAATGATAACATATATTAACTATATATTATATATGTTATATGCTATGGGAAGTATATTATATTTTATTTTTTTTTAATTTGCACATGCTGTCTAGTAAAAAGGCTTGCAATATGTTTCTAGAAGGTACTGATTCTTCTTGTGTCGTGTGTGTCCTGCCCCCCACCCCCCATTTTATTTTAGTTCTTGTTCAGAAAGATTAGAAAGCTTCAAGATACAATTTTCAACCTATTTCTTACATGTTTTGCGTGATTAGTAAGGCTCAGTGAGTGGCTTTTGTACTTAAGTTTGGCCTCTCTTCTAAGCCTCAGAAGTTGCACTCTCGGAGAGCAGAAGGTATACTTTCACATTCACTAGAGAGTTTAAAACAATCAGTTATATCAGTACCTTCCTCCACTCTTCATCTCAATGTTCTGTAATTGTACTGACAATTTGTACCCCCAAAACACAAACATGTAAAATTTCAAAAGTCTAGCAGAAAAATAACAGAGGAATCAATTGTGTCACGATCCTCAATGTCTGAAATCTGATAAAAATGACAGATGACCTTTTGGCAATCTTCAATAGAAAGGTCAGATTTGGGATCTTTTATATACTCAGCAGCCCATAATAAATGAGTATACCAAATTAAAAGATTCTATCTTGCTGGGACATAGAAATGAATTGTGTCAGGATGTTACGTGTTCAAAGCACCTGTAATATGCAGATAATACCCACTCATACCTAGGAAGCTGGAGACAGTTGACAGAGTCTGCTTTTTCCAGAGATCCATTGTTATCCATTCCAAAAATACTGCAATTTTTAGCAAAATACTGCCAGTCTTCCCAGTTTAGATCATCTCTTTTTTTCCTTTCAATTCTTACTGCTTCAGGGTGTGGACTAAAGAACTGCAGTATAATATAGAATACCTACAAGAAGATAACGAACTTATAAACTGATATTAATGGCTAAGTTGCAAAGCAACGAGAATATAAACTTTTTTTTTCAATGTGATAATATAGTCTGCTTCACCATTTGCAGGCAGAAAAAGAATCAATATTTCAGTCCACGTATTCCAAATTAAAACCAAAGATAACGTTTTTTGTTAGAAAAGATCTTTGATCTCTCAGACATCATTACAGAACTGAACTATTGCACCAGAACTCCCCTTTTTCTTGAAAGCCATTTGAAAATACATTACAAAGTCAAGTCCATGATATGTTACAGTAATATTTTGGCAAAAATGAAAGGCATAGCTTTGTGTTGCCAAATATTTGATGAGTTGTTTGTCTGATAACAGGTAAATTTAAAATTTTTAAATTTTTTTAGATTTTTTTTAGGAATCTCCCTATTTTTAGTTTGGAATTTCATCAAATACCCTGTGTTGTAGTAAAAAGCACTTCCCCAGCATAATGCTTATGCAGAAATGTGTGTGTCAAATAAGCCAAGTCTTGGAACTTCACAAGCATTTGAACTTACCTTTAACTGAAGGACTAATCCTTACTTATGTACCCAAAACTTGTTATCATATTCCTTCCCTTCTCACCATTAATGACAAAAAATAAAAAAAATCTAATCTAGCAAGAATATGTGGAAATTTGGTAGAGACCCTATTGTGAATACAGTCCCACTACTGATATGTCCCCCCTTTCCAAGACATACTGACACTTCAACAGCACAGTGAAGTGTTAGGTGCAATCAAGCCTCTTCAGGAACCTTGCCTGCTTATCATATTCTCCTTCCATTATTCTTCAGGAGGCTAACCACCATCTCCAGAACATCTACAAAACAGAAGTCCCCTCTGGTATGTCATTGTGCCACAGACATGTTAAATTCCATTTGACTGCAGTTAGCTTTCTTACCAGAAGATATAAAACAAACACCTCAAGTCTTAATAGAAATTAAAATTAAAGTTGAAATTTACAAAAGTGGAGTTAAAAGAGAGCAACCAATTTCTAAATATTGGTGTCTTTGCACAGGATATCTGCTCTGGTATGTCTGTTCTAGCTTACTGCGTGTTACAAAAGCCAAGGCACTTCAAAAGAGAATGAAAAGAACCATAATGTATTTTGTTGCCTTTTGCATTGTTTCATGCTGATAAAGGAATTTTTCTTCCTGGTTCCCTAAGGATAACATCTTAAAACATAAGGGTTACTTTTTCTAAAAATTGTAATGAAATGTCTACAAAAATCTTTTCCTAGTTTTGATTTAATAAATAGCAAATGTAATCTTCTCATTACCTGATATTGTCCATTTTGTAAATCTATTGTGATTGAAACACCACGATCCAGACCCGCAGTATTAGCAAACACAGATGAAATCCAAGTGGTCCCTATGTCATCGTCATTGATGTAATACAAAGGATGGGCTTCTGCATCCAACCTCAGTACTCTGTCATTAGTGGTATCATCTGCACCATTAGGGATGCAGTACCTCTGTATCAACGGGTGTACCCGGGGATGACTTCCAGGACAGCGGCACTCAGATTGGGTGTGAAGATGAGGAAATTTTCCAGAGAATACTTCCAAAATGTCTCTGTCAGAGCATATAAAAAAGTAATTACATACATGATAACAGGGAAGTGCCACTTTGTGTCTCTAGACTCATAGATTAAACAAAATTCAGCTTAGATTATAGTAGAAGTCCTAAAGGCCTGGTTTCACCTCACATAAATAGCACAATCAGCTAGGAATCAGGCCACCCAGGGTCCCCGTGTCACCAAGGGTAAGCAGCAGGCACCTGCAGAAGGTGTCTGTGACAAAGCACTCTGGAGATGTTTTCACTGCTCCACAGTCACCTATGGAGCTCCACAGACATATATGGATCCAAGGGAAATGAGCTCCTTGTTGGGGTGTCTACAGCTAGATAGGATGAATCCAGTCCTAGATGCAAGGAGAAAAACTCTTAATACTTTATTACACCATCATGTCTGACTCCATTCAGGGATCTGGACACTTTTCTCAAGCGTACCATATCAATGGCATATTGCCTGTAACCACAGCTGAGTTGAATGTTTGCACTCAAATCCTCCAAAGAGACCAGCTTGAGCAATATCATATTGCACCCTAGAAAACCTGGATAGAATATTTTCACTTTTAACTAATTTTAATACAAATGCCCACATTTTCAGCTGCCTCAGTCTGTGATCGCACTAATTACTTCTTACAGCCCATGTCAAAAACATTGAATCACTTTAGTTCCCTCTGACATCAGCAACTGAAATAAATACATAGATAGGTAGGTAGGCAAGCAGATAGATATATGAATAACACAGGCAGGTTACCTAAACCTTTATCCGCTCATCTCTGGTGTAAATGAAGGAATTTTTTGAGCCCAGAAGATACCGAATTTTTAAATTTAACAACTCTTACTTTTCCCATTTTTCCACTTCAATCAGTAAGAACATGATTTTTGTATACTTATTAAGCAAATAAATACTTGCTAGCTGTCACTACAAATTCCAAAGAACTCAAAGTTTCAGGACCTTTTAGATAGCCATAGACAAACTAATTGATATGCAGGCAAGACTGTCCTTTGCAGTTTATCCCAGAGAAACATTTTGGACCAAGTTATTTGTGGATATAAAACTACATCTACAAAGACATCGTTAGGTCACAACACTTTGTAAAATACCTTATCTTTCAGTTTTTAAACTTTATTCATTTCACTGACTTAAATCGTAGTTCAAAGGATTTGACAAGCATTGCTCTGAAAGAATACAACCAACATGACTTCCATATAATGTGGAATTCAGATTCACATTAATACTTTAAATTCACAGGAGCTCAGTTCATCGTAACGTCCTGCAGACAGATGAGCTCCTAGGAAACTGCTCTACATCTTATTGAAAGACTATCATTAAGTAGCCTTAAGGTTTGCAGTCACGAGTGTCATTGCGTGTAGCCCACCCAGAAGCACCACACAGACAAATAGGACTTGACTACTTCTGGCCAGCTTGAATTGACTAGATTAATCCAGCATGAGCTGGATAACAAAGGTAACATTTCTTTGTAATGTGCTAGGAAGGGAGGCTGGAGGGCAACAGAAATTGCAGTGGCAACCGTAATTTGGCCTTAGGAATGGAGAGTGTCAAAGCAATTGCCCAGGGCTATGTGGGCCGAGCTAGCAAAGTCATTGGCAGCTTATGGTGACAATCTAATATAGAAAGCAATGAACAGTTAAGACAATAGCACCCCGGGGTGTGGGGTGAAGGGAGCATGGAGAATACCTGACATAGACCTTCGATACCATGGGGCAGCTGAAACCAGAGGAAAAGAACTGCTAAGCGCGGAAGCCAAGCTTGCAGCCGCGAAGCCAGCATGCTGACCAGTTGGAGTGCCTGTCCTCTGCATTTGGATCGCTGGTTTTTGAGTGGTCTAAACTGGACTGGCCCACTATGCTCCCTTCCTTACCCTACAGTTTACATGGAGCTCTGGGAAAGCTTGGTGAGTCTCATCCAGCAGGACTAAGCTTACCAGCTCACACTATTATTTCAGAATTGTGATTATTCAATAACACCTGGACAGTTTATAAGCATTGAAATCTAGCAACTGAACCTACTCTCTGCAAGAGCACATCACTAAGTCAGGTTTTAACAGTAATGACAACAATAACAAGGAAAGCACATATTTACTACTGAGTGTTGACTTTCACTACATGTGTACTACATATACTACTGCACAAACTAGCTATATTTAAGCAACAGTTCAAAAGCAAAACACATTAAGTTGTTGAATTTATTTTTAACTCAAGATTTTTTAGATTAAAGGTCATCTTTGAAATGAGTTTCAGTAAACTACATCATCATAAGCAATATGCAAAGGAGACAGCTGAAAAGCACTATACTTTGGGAAATAAGCATATTGTTATCCTTTCTTCTTACCACACTGCTGGGTTTTGGTTTTTTTGTTTTGTTTTGGGGTTTTGTTTGTTTGTTTGTTTTTTTGTTTTTTAACAAAAACAAAGGTTCTTTACCTGTTTGTAAGTGCCACCGGGTAAAATCGAAAATCTTGCATTCTTCCAACAAATTGCTCTAAACCTAAGAAAATGCATGATAAATAAATAATCTATTGAGCAGAAGGTAGGTTTGCACTGCATGAGAGCACCTTTAATTCAGCACTCAGAGACCTCTCTTGCACAATTACCCCTCCTGAATGAAACCATCTTGGACCTGGACAAAACTATAGAGGGCAGTGGCTTGATTTTTTTTTTTTGATAAAAAGAATGATTTATAATAACTTTATAAGAACATTTTGTACCTATCTCTTTTCTGATTAGAGAGGTGGCACAAGGATCGGCTCATTAGACAGAAGTAATGAGCCAGTCCATGTGCCACCTCTAATTAGAGAAGAGATACAGTAGGTACAACTGTACCTATCAATTTATACAATAAAGATAAAAAGCATATAAAAATATTCCTTTCTTTTCTGCATTTATTAGTTACCCAGTACTCAGAATCAAAATCAGAACAAAACACATTTCCAAACATAAGCTTTAAGAAATGGGGCACAGAATGAATTTCTTGCCCAAGAGCACAATAAAGTTGTTTAAGTGACATACAGTTATATTTAGATGTTAGCATCAAATTGTGCATGTTCCTGAAGAGCAATAGTCAGTGTTCTTACATCTGCAGAGCCAAGAATTTGTGGAGAGCAACAAAACATCCCCCAGCTGTTCTGCAATGATCATGTCATGCTGTAGCACATATAAAATTCTAGATGTAGATTAAGAGTAACACTATCAGGCATTACTAGAGGCTGAGGGATTCTCATTCTGCTAGTTTACATGAGTATTGATAGAACTGAAGAACATTAACAACCAGAAATCTTCAGCTCTATTACTGACTCTGAAGAGGAGAGTATTCTAGTAGCCATGCACAACTCCATTCTGAAAGTTTCATATACTTACTCAGAAAATCTATGATCATTAATTAATGGAATGTGTCACTTTACATAGCTATGTTTTGGAGAATGAAGGAAAACCTACCTATATGCAGTAACACTGTGTTGGGTTTGAGTCTGGAGGGGTTTTGGTAGCAGGGGAGGAGCTACAGGGGTGGCTCCTGTAAGAAATTTCTACAAGTTTTCCCAGCTCCAATATTTAAGAGGGGAAAAACCTGTTGGGCAAGTCTTTGTTTGGGAAGGGAGGAGAGGAGGGAGATGTGAGAGAAACATCTCTGCAGACACCCAGGTCAGTGAAGAAGTGGTGGGAGGTAAGCTGGAGCAGAGATTCCCCTGCAGCCTATGGTGAGACAGCAGGCTGACCCTCTGCAGCCCTTCAAGGTTAAGGGTGGAGCAGATGCCCACCTGCAGCCTATGGAGGACCCCAGGCCAAAGCAGGTGACTGCACCCAAAGAAGGCCATGACTCCAAGGGAAGCCCACACTGGAGCAGTTCGTCACTGGGAGGACTGGACCCCATGGAAAGGATCCACACTGGAGCAGCTCGTGATGAGCTGCAGCCCCATGGGAAGGACTCACGCTAGAGAAGTTCATGGAGGACTGTCTCCCGTGGGAAGGGCCCCACACTGGAGCAGGGGAAGAGTGTGAGGAGTCCTCCCCTGAGGAGGAAGGAGCAGCAGAAACAACATGTGATGAACTGACCCCAACCCCCATTCCCTGCCCCCCTGCACTGTTGGGAGAGGGGAGGTAGAGGAATTGGGAGCAGAGCTGAGCCCAGGAAAAAGGGAGGGGTGAGGGGAAGGAGTTTTTAAGATGTGGTTGTTTTTCTCATTATCTTACCCTTATTTAATTGGTAAATTGGTGGTGGTGTTTAAATTAAACTGATGTTGTTTCCCCTAGTTGAGTCTGTCTTTTGCCTGTGACACTAACTGGCCCTCCCTGCCTTGTCTCAACCCTCAAGCTTTTCCTCCTTATCCCACCGCAGGTGAGTAGGAGTGGGAGAGCGGCTACATGGTGTTTAGTTGCCAGCTGGGTGGGCCTAAACCACAACACATAGAATAAATTACAATCCTACAGGATCATCTGCCAAAAATGTATCTTTCAATCTTTTGAGAATGCTAATTGTACAATTGGAATTTTTTCCTGCAGGAAGGTATAACTTCTCAGCATACAGACAACTCCAAATGACGCACACTTGTTTTTTAACCACATCATGCACATCTTATTTTGAATATTGCAGTGCATTCCACTAAAATACTACAAGATTTACCTGTGAAGCTTTGCCCAATTTGTAATGTACCATCAGCATCAGTATCTGCAACTGTTCCCATAAGAATCCTTGAATCAAAAGGTGTGTTGTCATCTTCCCAGCCGTTCAAGAAGAAACTAATTCTGTTGTGATGCACCTACGGAATCAATGTAAAAGGGCAAAACACATGCTTCATTATGCAATCCCTGATTTATCTACATGTTGCATCTATGACTGAATAACCATTAACATTACTTAAACCTACTTGCTGTGTGTCTTTATTTTCAGTGCCTGCCGAAAGTAGATGCCTCTTTTCTGTTCATCCGCTGGCAATCCCATTAATAAGATCATCACTCAGATGCACAGAGTATAAAATTTCTACAGTTGTTAAATCTAAGAAGAAACTACAGTACAGTGATCTGGTGGGGAGGGGAAAGACGGGAAAAGGAGAAGGGTGGGTCTGTTTCACGAGGTACGAGGCTGGTTACAGCTACATCACCACTTCAGGCCATGGGCACATGTTATAGCTGTCACAGCTCTTCTCATACACATCAGCTCAAACAGGCCTCAAGGGGCTACATACCATACTCAAGATAACCAAACGCAGCACGTTTCAGCCAGGCCTCTAACACCCCTCCAAAACGCCTCCCTAACCCGAGCATGTTTCTTTCTACAACGGCTGAAGGGAACAGTACAGGAACTGGCTACATCTGCTTTACACCCAGTGGGTAATTCCCTTATATCAAGGGAACCCTTGGCTAGGGATATGCACTCAGCCAGCACCCCGGGGTACTGTTTTCTGCAAGTGTTCCCTTCCCTGCCAATTCATTTTAAATTTGAACTAATGTTCATAGAAATACTTTATGGCATTCTCCCAGATCCACAAAGTCACAAGATGCTGGGCTTTTACAAAGTATTTTTTTTTTTGCATTAAAAATCCTCATGCTTAGGTTATATAAAATTAGAAAAAGTTTAATAATATGAGAGGGCCTTTCAGCCTTACATTTCACAAAATTCAATACTCTCATTTAAAAAATACAGACTCATACAAAATGAAAACTGGAGGCATTGTGGCTATAGTCAGCTTCCCATTAATGAAGTTAATTATAGAAACTAAGTTCAACTTATTCAAAACTTTTGAACTCTGTTGAATTGTTTACTGAATAAATTTAATCTCATTTATTTCAGAAAGTGATTTATTTGCAAAACTGAAATTACTTGATTTTTAGCAATATTTAGCTTGCATAAGTCTTATTTCACATGAGAGCTTGGTAGCCTTCAGATTTTGAAATATCATTTTGTTGTTGCCAATTTATAGAATGTTATTTTCATTTTGCAGATATGGATGCCTGGTGAATCGTGTCTACAGAGGCCAAATAAAACGAGAGTGCTTTAGCCTGTCTTGATACCCACGCTAATGAAAACAAAATAAACCTGGAATAATTGCTTCCATAAGAGCAATATATATGCGAGGACAAACAGAAGGTTTACAAGCCAGAATAATTTGTTGCAAAGAGGAAAGCCAGAACCTGAAAAAAATATCAGTCTGAAAAGAACAATATAAGCACTCACAATGCTGTTCTACCAATAAAGTCTTTCAAATTTCAGACCAAGATAAACGGACACAATTATCTATAAATCTGAGCTCAGACGATCAGCATCAGTGCCTTGGGCAACATGAGTCTATCAGTATTTTAAGAAAGAAAATATGAAATGAGATGGAGGTTTTTGTCCGGATTTTTTTTTTTATTTAGGCTTCACACAAAATTGTACAGATGAATTTTTCTCCTTAAACTGCACTTTCAACTATACACATGCATGCTGAGCTTTATTGCCATCTCCAGATTCAGTCAATATTTCCCAAATTTAGACAGGAATATTTATTGCCCTTCCACTGATGGAAATTTGAAGGCTATTATCATAATTACTAAGCCTTGAGATTTGTTGAAAAAGTTATTGCATATGAGTTTCACCGCTCAAAATACATCTCTCCATTTTAAATTATCTTTTGTGTTGACACATCAATGACCTAAATACAACAGTTTTTTATTTAATTTTAATTCAAAGCCCTCTCAACATCTGATGCCCTATTTGCAAGAGCCTAAGTATATGCGTATATGGTGGTTACATTGCATTTTTTTTCTGCATCACATTTTTTACAGCCTGTTACTGTCATTTGGTGTTTGACTGTTATCATCATAAAAGATACAGGCTTTTCTACTTTGTTATTTGTAGCATTATCTCATGTTTTACAACATCTTTGCACAACATGCCCGCACATGAAATATAACTAGTGAAAAGTTCTCAGTGGTATTAATGCATAAAAAAGAATGTGGTTCCATCTCTACTGTCTTTACCCAGCCAAAAGCTGATGAACAGCCAATTTTCCTTTATCACATTAGCACAGCCATGAGGGAAACACATTTGTTCTAGTCAGCTACACTAAAGATACTATTACCAATCTAACATATACATGTTTTATATCAGCAGTATTCTCAGAGTATGAGGGAGCCAACAATATATTAACACTACCATGACAGTTTATTTAAGAAAAGAAAATTGTCTCTGTAGAGGGACAGAAGTTAGAAATGTATGGCTAAAGCTCAGTGTCACTGGTCTAATAAAGGTAATAATTCTTGAGCTTTCTTTATAGCAGGTAACACTCCTATGGCAGCTCTGTCATATCATTCAAATAAAAATGTTGTCTTTTACAAGTTTAAGAGTACCTTTATTTTTAGTCAGATATGAGGCGTGTTTCTGCTTTCCTGTTTTCACTGTAAAACACTTGTAAGTGGAATTCAGAAATGGGTGCACTCGCCCCCACCGGCTTCTTACAAACTTACCATCTCAGCCACAGCTTCTACAGGAGCTGATTCTGCCTCCCCCAGTGGTAAGCAGAGTGGTCGCCTTCATGTACCCCCTACTAAAATCAGTGGGACTATTTATGACTCAAGAGTGACAGAATTGGGCCCTAAGTCACCAGGTATTTTTACTTGTTGAAAATAGGTGACTAACGACAATTTTAAATCTCCCTCCCCCCCTCCCC